ACTACTGGTGACCCCAGCTTCTCCTTTTCAGAGACAGATCCAAGCTCAGAGGCTCCTTCCTTACAAGTACATAGTCTCTGAGAAGCTCTGGCCCAGCGTAGGTAAGTGTCCATTCTGATCTACTCACCTATGCTCTGAGATGCAGGCTAAGATGGCAGAAAAAAGCTGCAGAGGACTCATCCCTACATGGGGAAGGGGGCACTTATTTATAAAGGGGATCATTTATGAGGTAGCCAGTTAACTAAAAAGGTCTACTTGATCCCTCAAAGAGCTAGCTTTTGAGTATGGGAGATGTAAACATAAAATGTCTCTCAGAAGCCATCTTTCAGTGTAATGAGCATGTAGGAAAACCCAGAGGCCTTTCCTGACTGATGTGTTCCAGGAAAGCATTATGGAAGGGATATATTTTTTATAGATAATGTAGGGAAAGAGGGACTCAGATAGGTGGAGAGGGTATAATGAACAAAAGCATGAGGTGAGTATGGCAACTATTTCAGATCCATTGGACCATAGAATTTAAAACATAGTATGCGATCAAGTTGAAGCCAGAATGTAGAGCTTTTTGAAAGTTAGGCAAAAGGATTCCTTCTAGAAAATGTAAGGTTTTTGAGCAAGGGAAATATATAACCAGATGAGTATTTTAGGAAAGTCGATCTCTTCCAAAGTGACTATAGTAAGTAAAGAGGAGAAGATATAAAAATAGGTGAATAGATCAAATAAGAGGCAGACAGGATCCAATCTAGGTTGGTGGCAATAAGAATAAAAAAAATAAAGACAGGGAATTCTTGAGAATCATGAGGATTTCAGGCAGCATGCCAGGGGCAAGGAGAGAGATATTTGGATTAGGAAGTGTATTCCAGGGCTCTGGCCACATACATGTATGGTAAAGCCAGTTCCAACAAGTTACTTTTTAAGGTACTCTTTGTATTTATTTATTTCATTTGACTCATTCCATTGTTCACTCACTCAACATTTACTGAGCACCTGGTTTGATCAGACATTATATAGGGAGGTGGTTCAGATAAGATGAATGAGACTGGACTCTCCCCGTGAGGATGTGGACATGAAAACAATGAATGAGAAGACAGCATGAAAAGTGCCACATGACCTCATAGGGCTGTCGGGCAGATTAGATGAGATCACGTCTGTAAGATGCTTAGTTAGGCACAGTGCCTGGTACCTAGTAAGCGCTCAAGAAATAGTAACTATTATTCCATATAAAATCCCCAGAGAGCAAAAAAGTAGAAATGATGAACTGTCTTAGGATATTGAGGACAGCTTCAGAGATGAGTGAGATCATTGACCAGGCAGAGGCAAAGAGGGGCATTCTAGATGGAAGGGCCCACATAAGTAAAAGCATGATGTGTTCTGAGAAGACCGAGAACAGTAGCTGCTATAGAGTACAAGATGTATATTTAGTAGTGGCAGGTAGGCTAGGCCTACTTTTAGGTGGCCTCAATGCCCAACAAATTCTAGATTTTATATTTTAGGCAATCAGAAGCAATGATTGGATTTCAAGCAGACAGAGGGTAAGCAGATTTCTTATTAGAAAGAAGTAAGGGACTCTCACTATAGGAACAGTGAGAGTGGGACAGGAGAATAGGTCAGAGCAAAGAAATTAGTAAAGGCTACTTAAATTATTCAGGCAAGTCATTTGAGGTAAGAGCATGAATCGAGATGGTTGCAGTAGAAATGGATGCAGGAAAAAAATCATGATTTTTATTTTTATTTTTACCATTTTTTAAAAAAGATTTTATTTATTAGTGAGAGACACACAGAGAGAGTCAGAGACATAGGTAGAGGAAGAAGCAGACTTCTAGAGGGGAGCCTGATATGGGACTCCATCCTGGGACTCCAGGACCATGCCTTGAGCCGAAAGCAGGCTCAACCACTGAGCCACCCAGGCATCCCTGCAATTTTTCTTTGATAAAGCATTTTATTAAACATTTTCAATAATTCACATACTTCTAAAAGCTTGTGACATAATGTTTGAACATTTATCTAATTCAAAACGTATTATATTTTTACCAGCTCACTCTTATAATGTTAATCTCTTCTAAAAACTTAGAAAAGACCATGCTTTAGGAAAATGAAACAAAACAAACTTTCACAATTATAGCATCTATTTTAACATCATAGGTTGGTCGTTACTTGCAAACATACTGCGCAAAAATAACCTCATATGAATATTTTAATGTTGCACTCTAATTTTATGTATTCTTTCTTATATATTTCAAGATTGTGAAATAGATACAGGCAATATTTAAGTATTCTGATGCGCCGATGAGAACATCCTTTTCTTACTGCATTACCTGAGAACCAATCAGGTGGCCTAGACTTAGGTCATGCCTGGAGGCCAGCAACTTTTTGGGTTGATAAGTTGCTTATAGCTTATCTTCCTGACACCTGGAAAAGGTTACAGAACTCAGAGGTCTTATTACTGCAATTCCTGTGTACAGTCAATGCCTATTTATTGAAAATTGAATTAACTAAAAATTTACAATGAGTTATTTTTTCTAGTCTTTATATGTGATAACTACTCTTTATAATAAAAACCACGAAGAATTGTAAAATCCTGTATTTCATTTTAAAACAAAACAGTTCAATAATATTTTACTGTCTTTTAAAACTAACCTTATAGTTTTGAGCTAATTGTAGATTCACATGCACTTGTGAGAAATAATATAGAGAAATCCCTTGCACTTTCCCAGTTCTGCCCAGTGGTAACATCTTGCAAACTATAGTATAATATGACAAGCAGGATACTGACATTGATAGAGTGTAGATCTCTTCCTGGATTCTCTGTTCTAGTCCATTGGTCTATCCATCTTTTCCTCCACCAATACTCTACTGCTTTGATTACTGTAGCTATTTAGATGGCCCTAATATCAGGAAGAATGATATTCTTTTTTTAAAGATGGTTTTAGGTATTCTAGGGCCTCACTTTACTATATTTCATTATAATATATTTCTTTTATAAATTGGAAATCCAGGTATACTATATAGAACAACTCCTATTAACTAGTATATTAAGTTAATTATTAATATGCCATTCATCAAAATTCTGAATTAGTGAGAATTTACTTTTAGTTCTGGCTTTAAGGCAAAGTTACCACAAAACAAATTATAAAAGCAAAGTTCTGGTATCTTCTCTATAGGCATTTAAAAACCATCTATTTGAGGCGCCTGGGCAGCTCAGTTTGTTGAGCATTGGACTTTTGGGTTCAGCTCAGGTCATGATCTCAGGGTTTTGAGATAGAGCACCCCCGCCTCACCCCACTCAGTGGGGAATCTGCTTGAGAGTCCCTCCCTCTCCCTCTGCACTTCCTCCTGCTCACACACACACACACACACACACACACATACACACACACAATTTCTCTCTCTCAAAATAAATAATCTTAAAAACAACAACAAAAAAAATCCAAAAGATCTACTATTCCAGGGTGCCTGGCTAGCTAAATCAGTAGAGTATCCAAATCTCTCTCTCTCTCTCTCTCTCTCTCTCTTTTGGAGCTTGGGGAGGGACAAAGGGAATCTTAAGCAGGTTCCATGCCCAGCTCATGTCTGACCAGGGTCTCAATTTTACAACCCTGAGATCATGACCTGAGCCCAGACCAAGAGTCAAGAGTCAAATGCTTAACTGAGGGAACCATCCAGGCACCCTTGAGCATGCAACTCTTGATCTCAGGGTTGTAAGTTCAAGCCCCACATTAGGTGTAGAGATTACTTAAAAAAAAAAAGTATATATATATATATATAGGCTATCTATTCCTATCTATATGGATGTGTCATGAATATTTCAGTTCTAATAATTCTAATATATTCATTCTTTAAGATAATTTTAGGTGCTAGAAGTTCTAGTAATGTTAAACCAATGGGGTGTTCTGTAAAATGTTCTGTTCATTGACCTTTAGTTATATTTACCTACCTATAACCTTTATAAAGCAATAAATAACTGCAAGCACAGGACATGAACAAATCCCAAAACCAGCTTATTGAAATGCAACTTTGTCTCTAAAGATTCTGCTGTGCCATTTACCTTTGGAGAAGAAAGGAGAAAAAGACAAACAAAAGCTTCGGGAAATTGATGCTCAGAAATTAAATATACTTAAGTGTGGCAGATATATTTTCAGTTATGAAAATGGATATTCTCACCAGCAGTATGCTCTCATAATTGTCTGTTAATAGGTTGGGATACATGAGATAAATCTGCAAACTATTGAATATGCTTGCCAATATTTGAATTTCAAAAGGAATCATTTTGTAGAATTTTGTACAAGTTTCTCTAATCCATGATACTAATTTCTTTTTGAGGTATAAGGAATTTTTATTTTCTTGCAGACAATAAATTATTTGTGCTGTCTTTAAGAAGTCAAACAGGCTTTTAAAAAGGTAATCTTTTATTACCAAAACCTGAAGCCTAACCCTCTCAGAAATTACTGTGGCATGTAATCAAAAGAAATAATTATAAAATAAAAATATCATGATCATATGTAATGTTTTTATATTTAGCTAATGAAGTCTTTAAACAAGAAGAATAGAGATTTTTTAAAAAATGTATATATTCAATAGATTTACTGAGGATAAAATCAATATAAAAAAACTACAAATATTTAAAGCATATCTCTAAGTTTTGACACTTGCATACCCCTTTGAAACCACATCACGAATTAAGGTAATAAACATAATTATTATGCTCAAAAGTTTTCTTGTGTCTTTTTCTAATCTCTCCTACCTCCCCTCCCCTACTCTAGGTAACCACTGTTCTGCTTTTTGTCACTATGTATTTGTTTGCATTTTCTACAATTTTATATAAATGGAATCATACAGCATGTATTTGTTGTTTTCTTGGCTGCTTTTATTCAGATTCTGATATTTATCCATGCTGCATGTATAACAGCTTGTTATTTTTTATTACTAAAGTACAGATATATCATAATTTGCTTATCCAATCACCGATTGAAGGACATTTGGGTTGTTTCCAGTTTGGGGCTATTGTAGATAAAACTGCTATGAATATTTGTATTCAAATCTTTTTATGGTTGTCTATTTTCATTTCTCTTGGGTAAATATCTTGAGTGGAATGGCTAACTCATGTAGTAGATGCGTATTTATTTTTTAAGAAACTGTCCAGCTTTTTTTTCCAAAGGGCTGAAACACTTCTATTTCTACCTACAGTGGATGAGAATTCCACATCCTTCCTAATACTTGATATGGTCAGTTATTTTAATTTTAGCTATTCTGTTAGATGTGTAGTGGTATCTCATTGCAGTTTGACTTTACATTTACCTAATGACAAATGACACTGGGCATCCTTTTGCATGCTTATTTGTTATCCATATCCCTTTTTGGTGAGATGTCTGTTCAAACCACTTGCTCCCTGAAAAAAAATAAAAGAGTTGTTTTCTTATTATTGAGTTTGGAAAGTCCGCTATATATTCTGGATACAAGTTCTATATTAGATCAACAGTTTGCAAATGTTTTCTCCAATCTGTGGATTGTCTTTTCATTCTTTATAGGATCTTTTGAAGAACTGAACTTTCAAATTTTGATGAAGTACAATTTATGTTTTTTTTTTCTCTTATTGATTATGTCTTTGTTGTTGTATTTAAGAAATATTTGTCTAAACCCAAGGTCTCAAAGATTTTCTTTCATGTTGTTCTTCAGAAATTCTATAGTTTCAGATTTTTACATTAAATCTATGACCCATTTTGAGTTGATTTTTGTATGTGGTAAGAGGTATGGATTGAAATTCTTTTTTTTTTTTTGTATATGGATACACAAATATTCCAACACCATTTGTTGAAAACATTACTTTTTCTTCAGTGAATTGCCTTTGTACTTATGTCAAAAAAAATCAGTTGTCTAGACATGTGTGGGGCTGTATCTGGGCTCTCTATTTTGTTCCATTGTCTGCCTTTATGCCAATACATCACTGTCTTAATTACTGTAGTTTTATAATAAGTCTTGAAATCAGACCATATTTGTCCTCTAATTTTGTTCTTTTTCTTCATTTGGATACCCAGACAACCCAGGTGTCATAAAAGAGAATAGCTGTTTTATGGGGATTTTTTTGTTTTTTAAAAATCTCACAGTTATTCTAGTCTGTACTGAGAAGCTAGAGTAAAAAATCCAATTCAGATGGTTCTGTCAAGGATATGCTCACATGCTTTATCACTTCATTTGGAACTTGGACTTTATTGAACACAGACTATGTTTCAATTATTGTGGCTGAAATTTGTATCAATCCAGTTCTTGATAAAAGTTAACTATTGTAGCATTATTTATTCATGAGAGACACAGAGAGAGAGGCAGAGACATAGGCAGGCTCCATGCAGGGAGCCTGATGTGGGACTCAATCCCGGGACTCCCGGGATCACACCCTGGGCCAAACGCAGATGCTCAACCGCTGAGCCACCCAGGTATCCTGCAAAATCCTATTTAAAAATTCAACAGGACTGGGGTGCTTGGGTGGCTCAGTCAGTTGAAACTGTTAGTTTTGGCTCAGGTCATGATCTCAGAGTGGTGGGACCAGCGCTGCATCCAGCTCTCAGCTCAGTGGGGAGTCTCTTGAGATTCTCTCTTCCCTCTATGTCTCCCTCCGCTCATTCACACACACTCTCTCTCTCAAAAAGATAAATGAATCTTAAAAAAATAAAAATTTGGCATGACTAAGAATTATTGTCTAAAAAAATTAAAAAAATTATTGTCTAACATGGAATATGTTTATTGATGAGAAACATACCTAACCTTATTGTCCAATTTCCTGCAACAATCCTCAGTAGTTTGACCATGCTTTCAGTCTGATCATTTGCTTGAGACAAAGCAGTTGTTTCTATGATTTTTTTGAAGGCTTACTCTCAATTCAGGAGGGTTTGTGTGTATGTGTGTTTCTTTTCCCCCAAAAACTGAGATTGTCAATATGCCATACCTCAATTGGATTGGGAAAGTTCTGGATAGGAAATTTGCTTGGGGCTGGATAGCATTACAACTGAGGGCTTGGCTTTGGATTCAGGCAAACTGGGTTTGAATATTGATTCTACTTTGTAATAATTACATTACCTTGATTATGTTTTTAAATATCTACAAACTCATTTATCATCTGGAAATTGTGGATTATATAGTGTTTGCCTCTTAGGATTATTACTAGTGGCTTGGACTTTATTTAACTACTGCAAAGACTGGAAAAGAATAAAGCACATAACAAGCTCCAATGTATAATCTACCAAGTTAATTCCACGATACATAACAGTGAAAACTTGATCAGGAATCCTTATTGATTTTGTAAGATTATATTAATGGTTTATACCAAGCTCCTCAGGAAAACCCAGTGTGCATACACTTGGGAACCACTACACTAGGTGATTTATATAGACTATCATATTTGATTTATAACAACTGAGTTGTGCTTTCATTCCTTTTTTATCGGTAAGAAAACTGAGGTTCACAATGACTGTGTTGATCCAGCAAATTGAGCTTCAAGGATTCAGACCCAGATCTGACTTCAAAATCCCTACTTTTTACTATTTCCCTATATTTATGTAAGCAAGGTTCTTAGAGAACCCTAAATTTAAGGAGAAAATGCACATACACAGCAGAAGCTGATTGCAAATATCTGGCCCAGACTTAAGAATAAAGCAATAGGGGAATTGGGAACATTTCATTGCCATTTGTGAAGGAGTCTACCCTTAATATAATCTTACATAAACCATTAATATAATCTTAAAAAATCAATAAGGAATTCTGATCAAGTTTTCAGCATCATATGTCATGGAATTAACTTGGTAGATTATATATACACTGGAGCTTGTTATGTGCTTTATTTTTTCCCAGTCTTTGTAGTAGTCAAAATCCAAGCCCCTAGTTAGAGCTTCTACCTAATGTTTTCCTGAGAATAATTCCCAGATGTACTGAATTTACAATGGCCAAGATAACCTGATGACTAATTTCTGGAACAACACCCTTCTTGCTATAAAATGCATTCCTACAGGTATGCATTTTTTTTCCTACACACCTAATTTAGGATATAGATGAACCCATATCACAGATCTAATGGGAACACTACAACACGTTTTGGTATCTAAATGGCAAATGGCTCTGGCCATCACCATTAGCTATTGCTTGGCTAGGCTTATAAACAAGTTACAAGAACTGAATCAAAATGACACTCTGCACACATGATGACATAATTATGGGTGTAGACTTCATCTTAGAGAAGAATCCCAAAAGAGTTTATGTCAGTATGAACTGTAAAGACTCTACCATAGGAGTATTTTTAGGATTTCTTTACTCCCACAATAATTGCAAAGAACTCAGTGACATTTGACAGTAATTTTATTATTGTGAGAACTTTCTGCTCAACTATAGGCAAGTGTTCTACAGTTGTACCTGGCACTTTGAGGCTAAGGACTCTCCAGAATTCATTAACTGAAACAACAGTGGTTTGTATTCAGTGTAATATAGTGAACCAGACCAAGAAGTTAATAGTATTTTGACATTCTGAAAAGCATTTTCCCACTAGAAAGCTCCAACACAGCCAGATGTTATTTTCTGGTAGGCAATACAGTACTTCAATATAGTTTTTTTTTTTAATTAGAGATTTTCTGTTTCTTCAAGGGAAACCAGCTTTATTTTCTTGTTATAATTATAAAAATATGGTTAGCCATATAGACAGGTGTAATAAAGAAAGAAGTCATCTGAAATTTCATTATGCAGTGATAACCTCTAGGTATGTAGGTTTCTCTCTTTCCCTCTTTTCCTATTCTTTATAATCTATTTGTCTAAAAACAATGCAATAAGTGCACATGTATGGAAAAAATTAAATTTTAAAGAATGGACATAAAATGAAAAGCAGAATCCCCTCCTCCATTTCTAAATGTTTTCCCCAGGTGAAATGTTTATGTTAACTTCTAGTTTTTGACTTATCAACTATAGTTGATTCCTAACTGTAAATGAAAAAGCAAGCTGACAAAGCCAAAGCTGCTCAAACAGCAGAAGACGCCATGTGGATAATGGAACAGATGACCAAAGAGAAGAGCGAAACACTGGCCTCCTTGGAGGATACCAAGCAAACAAATGAAAAACTACAGAATGAAGTAATCAGATTTAAATGTCTTTTTGTACAAAGGACAGCTTATCGACTTCATGGAATGCTTGATCACTAACTCAGGATTGTTTATTTTTTGAAGTATGGCCTCATGCAGGTTGGATCTGTGTTAGTGGAGTTGAATATACACCAGGAGCACAATAATATTAAATAAAGTATATTACTTCATTAAAAAAGGTGAGTATTTAGTCTACTCATGTTACTTGCTACTTATTTTAATAATCCTAGGACTTAATAGTCCTATTGTTACTTTGATTTGAATTGGTTACTGACTGGCTTTAAATATTATACTGAAATTGCTATAGCCTGTTCTATCTGACTAATCTTTCTCTTTACTTTTCATATTAGTAAGATGCTAACTTCACTATCCAAACTTCCATTTCTGCTGCCCATTTTTTAAACCTCAACTTCTGTACTTTTGCAGTGTTAAGATTTATGATATTTTTATTTCTCTAGAAAAAATATAAATAAAACCAAAAGACCTGTGTTAAAATCATATTTCCATTACAGGCAAGCTGTGTAGTAGAGCCTCACTAAGCTTTGATAGTGAGTATGTGATTTACCTTTTCCATTTCCTTAACGTGTCTTTTGATGAACAGCAGTTTCTAATCTTGATAAAGTCCAATGTATCTTTTTTCTTTTATGGTTACTACTTTTTACATACCAAGAAATCCTTTCCTACTGCATTATTGCAAAGATATTCTTTATGCTTCCTTCTAAGGATTTTATAGTTTAGTTTTTATTTTAGGTTTACAATCCACCTCACATTATTTTTTATATGTTGTGATATACTAGTCAGGATATATAGATATCCAGTTGTTCTACTACCAATTGTTGAAAATATTTTCTTTTCCTCATTGAATTTCTGGCATTTCTGTCAATTGGCTGAATACATATGGGGAGAGGTCTATTTCTAGATTCTCTATTCAACCCATCTATTTGTCTTTTCTTATGCCAATAACACATTGTCTTAATTACTATAGCTTTATAATAAGTCTTAGAGTCAGATGGTCTAAATCCTCCAAAATGTTTCTTTTTCAGGATTATTTTAGCTATTCTGGTCCTTTGTATTTCTATTTAACAGTGAATGTTTGACTACCAATTTTTATAAAAAAACAGCATTCTGAGCTGGAATTATACTGATTCTATACATCATTTTTAGGTGGAATGACATCTTTACAGTATCATCCTGCAACAATTTACATGGTATATTTCTTTACTTTTTTGGCCTTCCTGCAGACTTGTAGTTTTAAAAGTAGAGATCTTTTATACCT